CTCCAAGGTGAAGGAAAGAACAGCTGTCAAAAGGAGAGGTGAGAATCCATCCAAAGTAAGAGCCAAGGACACTCTATATTTTTCAGTTCTTTATATCTAAGAGTTTATTTCCTTTAGAAAACCCTTACAAACCAGACCACCTGTGGGTAAAGAGGACGTGGAATTCTTAACAATACCTTATAAGCCTGCTATTCCGACAGCACCAAATTCAACTCCTATAACTCCCAACTCTGTGTATTACAGTTTACACCTGCAGAAAACTTGTGGTTATATTTTGCAAAGTCTTCATTCAACTTCTATTTTTGCATGCTGAAAGAAATGCATCTTCCAACATGCAGCCGGGTGTGCATATGCACGTGGGAGGAGAAACACAAAACTCCATGTGTAAAACTGAGCCCGCTTTTTCATTTGTTGAATGAACTTACAATATGAGCAGGAAAATAATATTTGTGTATCGTATTCATTTTACAGTATCTTTTATGGTACAGCCAGATATTTTGAAAAGCCAAACAAATAGTATTTTAGTCAGCAGCAATGTCAATATTATATCATGAAATCTACTCTCCTGAAGCCAAAGAGAAATAAATCACACTTTTTAATTAATGAATACATCATCAATCTCTTTGACCAAAGTTAATTAATTTTTTATGGTGATACAAGAGTTTTATTGCATGGATTTGAAGTGTTTTAATTAAACAAAGAAAAAATAGATGCTGTGAATTGCACAAGAATTGCTAGGATTGAACAGGGTTCACAAGGCTGAGAAAGGAATCAAGCAGCAAGTTGCACAGCAGATATATAAATTGTACAGAGTTTTGCACGCGAAAACACCTGCAGTAGCGTTAGTTAAAATATTTCTTTGGCTATCACCTCTTTTGCTGCCTACTGTGTATATGAACAAAGAGGAATGATAATTTATACTTTTGTAATCCAGAGTCTGGGTAACTGCCATTAAATGAAAATGTAAAATAATAGAATGCAAATATAAAAGATTTTAACTGTGAAGCAAAAATGCCAGTATAAAAAAAAGATTAGATATTTTAGCTTTCATTTTCATGAATAATATCATGAATGAATTGTCCAGTTACTAACAGTGCCTATTTTGCCAATTTTACAATCTTCTTTATTTTAAATATATACACCTACAGCTGCGGTTACTCTGAGACTGAATTATTGGGATCTTACAGGTTGACACTTAAGCATTTTGTTCTTAGCATATGGTCAGCCACTGAATCCCTACTCTGATGATTTAGTGCCTCTGGTTTGCTTTGTTACAATTTACCTTGGCCACTGTGCTATTTTCTGACAAAATATGTGAAAATTAAGTCCTTCTGATTCAAAAACAAGTTCAGTTCTTTCTTTTGCATTTTTGAATTTAGCCCTAGAATAAAGGCTATTTTCCCTATTTTGCGCCAGGAAAAATAATGCAGTTGCCTTAAACATAATGAGTAGTGCTAATTAACTTCTGAATTGTATCTCTGTGCTGAATATCGTCAGGCAAAACACGCAGAAAACAGACAATCAAATGAGGTACAGACTTTTAATCATTGTGAACTCCAAGATGAAAGCCTCGATTTTGTTATAGTAAGGGGAATATGAACAAGTAGCAAGCGTGATCTCCGTGATTTACTGACCTGCATTGCACTTTCATTGGTAACATCCTAGCTCCACTGAAGTCACAGGCAAAATACTATTTTAACAATATGCTACTTCCACTGCATTTGCCACACACACAAAGGCAGAACAAGGGAAAATGACCCTTTTCTACCATGCAAAGTGGTACTTTTAACCTTTACTGTGTGTCATCATAATAGAAAAACAGATACATATGTGGCCTTTCAGTTTTTCACGTGAATTAATGCATGATGTTTTATTTTACTGTTACAGCTCCTGCCTTTTAGCATTAAAATGCATTATGAAGTAAAGCTCAGCCTAAAGTTAAGCCTGGCCCATTTGTATAGGGTAACACAGAATAGTTTTTCACCAGCTCACCAAGCCCTGAGCAAGGATAAAACCCATGTTGGTTCGTGTCCAGAGCGCAGGAACGACTGCCTCACTGTGCAGTCCTGGGCAAACCTCTCCTTTCCAAGAGCGCAGTAGTGAAAATTCAGCATCTCCTGTTCAGTGTGCAGCTGCCTGCCCTCACGCTCCGCAACAGCAGTCCTCCAAGCAAAACCCTCGCTCTTCCTTCCTCTCTCTCTTGCTCGCTTTTTTTTATCTTGCCTTTCCGTCATCATCTTGGGGTTCTTTTTGTTGTTTTGTTTTGTTTTTTTGCAGTAACATTTTGAACACAAATTAATGAAGCAATAGTATCCTCTGGAAAGGGCATTATCAAGAATTATGGACCAGTTTGGCCATGCAATGGCCCTGAGGCAAAGCCAAACTGCCAAACCAGCCTTTAAACCCATAATCCAGGTAATGACCTGTCTAGAGGGTCTTGTGGATGTTATATGCTTGTGATGAGCCGAGGGTTGCCTTTTACTGGGACATAAAATTCTCTGAATGCTTTATTTAACTTTACTGCATTGGATGTTTCTGACCACCTCCCTCTGCTTTTCCTCTGTGGACGATTTCTAACAGCAGTGTGTAGCTCAGTTAGTTTTTTCTTCTTCATGCGAACACATTTGTTCTCTGTTATTGAGCTAGTTGCAGAGGTGCGTCTATCCGAAAAGTGTTACAAGTGTTGGCGCCAACAGGCAGAGCTCTGGCATGCTCATCTCAGGAAATTTTCTGTAGCCATTCCTCTCCTGTAAGTGACCCTGCCATATGAAGCCTTTGACTGTACATCTTGTTTGTTTTATGCCATTGCTTTTCTCCATTTCCCTTTTGGCTGGAGACAGGTGAATTCCTATGTGGCGTTACAGTGCTGATGTCTCAGGGCTTCGCGTTGAAAGCAGCCGGTTCCTTCCCTGCTGAAGCTAGGGTTAAAAACCCATTAGCGTGGATAACTTGTGTGCATAATTACCTGAAATGCTGTGTGCTGTTGAAGGTGCAAATCCTGCACCTGTGCAGCCGAGCTCAGAGGGTTGTGGTGAATGGCGCAGAGTCAAGTTGGAGGCCTGTGGCTAGCGGTGTCCCCCAGGGGTCAGTCCTGGGCCCAGTCTTGTTCAATATATTCATCAATGACCTGGAGGAAGGGACAGAGTGCACCCTCAGCAAGTTGGCTGATGATACTAAACTGGGGGGAGTGGCTGACACACCAGAAG